TGTACAGCAATTAACCACTAAGAAGAATATATGCAGTGTATTATTTGTTGAAAAATAAAAATAAAAAATAAAAAATAAAAAAAAAAAAAAGCACTCAGCAAAAATGTGTTTCCTTTTGTAAACTCTGCATCAGGTGATGAATAATAAGACTGTGGCCCTATTTCCCAGAATCATGGAACAAATGAAGTTTGTGAACTAAGGTACCACTGCGGCCCATCACATGGACAAAATATTAAAAGCTGTTAGAGAAAAGCAACAAACCACGTACAAGGGTAAGTCCATTTGAATTACAGCAGGCTTCTCAAAACAAACCTTTAAGGCCAGAAGACCTCGAAGTGTTTCAACTCCTCAGTGACAACTTCCAACCCCCACTCAACTCATGTGCCTTGTGAAGTTTTCTTTTAACACTGATGTAGAAGAAAGGTATTTCCATGACAAGAAATACCTCAAGATATTCATGACAAACCAGCATTACAAAAACTTCTCAAGGCTATCCTAGAAAGAGACAATAATACCAACGATGCTAATAACTAAAACAAACAAACAACAGCAACATAAAACCTTATAAGGATGAGCAGTTAAACAATAGAAAAGAACAAATATGCAACAGAAAAACAATACAATGAAAGGAAGAAGTCACAGTAACAAGACTCAATGTGAATGGTCTTAACACCCCCATTACAAGGCTGGTGGAATAGATCAAGAAACAAAAACCAATGACATGTAATATAAAAGAAATGCATTTAATTAAAAAAGAAATTCACAGACTAAAAATTAAAGGATGGAAAACAATATTCCACATAGCAGGAACCAATAAAAAAGCAGGAGTGGCTACTGTAATTTCAGACACTTTGTATTTCAAGCCAAAACTGATCAGAAGTGTCAAAGATGATTACTGCTTATTAGTTAAGGGAATAATTCAACAAGAAAACAATAATAAATATATATGTACCAAACACTGGTAGACCCAACTTCATAGAAAAAAATACTACTAGACATGAAAAACTGGATAAACTGATATACAATTGTAATGGGAGACTTTAAAACCCCATGTCACAAGTAAATCAACTAGACACATGGGCTTCGAACACATGACCTTAACAGGTATCTACAGTGTTCCACCCAAGAATAACAGGATACACACTCTTCTCAGAAGCACAGGGGACTTCCTCCAAAACAGACTACATAGTACTCAATGTATCATGCTTAAGTAAATACAAAAGAATTGAAATTAACCTGTGCATATTATCAGACAATAGTGCAATGAAAATAGAAATCAATGGCAAAAGAAACAAAAATTTTTAAATACATGGAAATTAAATAATACTTTCTTGAATAATTAATAAGTCTTAGAAGAAATTAGACAGTTTTGAGAATCAAATGATAATGTAAATAAAACATACTAGAACTTATGGGACACATGAAAGCAGTCCTAAGAGGGAAGTTTATAGGAGTCAACAAGTACATCACAAAAACAGTGTGTTCAAATAAAATAACTTTTTGGTTATTTCTATCTCAAGACCCTAGAACAATAATAGCAATCCAAACCCAAAACTATCATAAGGAAGGAAATTATAAAGATTGAGCAGAGATAAATGAAATTGATACTAAAAAAAAGTATATAAAGAATCAATGACTTGAACAGCTAGTTCTTTGAAACACTAAACAAAATAGACAAATACTTAGCCAATCTTACAAAAACAAGAAAAGACCCAAATCCACGTAATTAGAAATAAAAAAGATGGGGTCAGGGAGATAGCTCAGCAGTCTAAGCGCCTGACTGGCAAGCACAGGGATCGGGTTCGATACCTGGCATTGCATATGGCACCAGCTCTACTCCCAGGTGCACTGAGCCGGCCATCAAGACCCAGTGTGGTGGCACAGGCCTATAATCCCAGCACTGGGGAGGTTGAAACAGGAGGATCACTATGAGTCCAACAAGTATAATGGGACCCTGTACCAAATATATAAAATTAAAAAAAAATTAAAGAAATGAAAAAAGGTAAAAGCATAAAGATTTTGCCAAAGTCTAGATAATCATGGATTAGTATTTTGAGAATCTGTACTAAAATAAAAAGGAGAGAGGGAAATGGGATGAGCTAGGAAACATGACAATGTTAAGCCATGCAGTTATATGTAAAAGTTGAGCAAGGCAATGATCCGGAGAATATTCAGAAGATTCTTTAATCTAGGAGTTAATTGGAATGATTCTCACCCTGACTAACTATATATACTGATATCTGTGAACTAAGCTACTGCACTGCAGATGGTAATTTGTAATAGTGGTTTCATATTGGGAGTGCCTGTCATTGTGGTATTCTGAACATGGGCTGCTTGTCATGACATGCCAGTTACTGCTAAGATGTCTCTCGGGTAGGTGGATGTTCAAGAAGAAGGGGGTGGTGAATGAAAGCAAGAGACAGGAAAAGGAATACTGTGGGACAGTCCTGCTTCAAGGTTGTATATGGTGAGATTTTTGGACTTATGTGCAAACATGAGAAGCATAGAATTCTTTATCCTATTGTTAAAATATAATCTAATTTTTAAATGTTCTTTATCATATTCTGTAGGGACTTAAGGTTCAACATATCAATACCTGATGAAAAATACCTGTTCCTTATTATGCCTAAGATGTTTGAAATGTAGTGAAATAGTGAGGTTAAGCTTGATAACGTAAATCGTTTGATAATAACAATAAGCTTGTCTTCTGGATGGTTAACAACATCAGTTTGCAGACCAAAATTAGAGAAAAAGGAGGGCTACAAGGAAAGCCAATATTTTGGCCCTACCCTTCTAAGGTCAATTAAGACTCAGGACATATGAGAACTTGTACTGTAACGTCATGTACCTCGGTAGTGTCCCAGATTTTCTGATCAAGAAGGTTATGGGGCCAAAGAGGAAATCGATCGATGACGTGGAGTGTGCCTAAGGAGAGTCACATGAGGAGAAGACACTCTCTCAGGCTTTCACAGAGAGCACATGCCAAGCAATGGCCGTGACTCATCCACATGGCTGCACTGACAAAGGTTCTACAATCTGAGGTACAGGATCTCAGGATAAATCCTGAGGGCATTTCACTGACCTTCTCAAACCAAAAAGCTACAACTCTTGTTGCATAGGTTCTGCTTTACCTTGGTCTTAATTATCCAGTAGAAAAGTATGAAGATGAAATATAGGAAGTAAAGCCATGTTGTTATGTTGAGCTGTGGGGGACTCACGTCAATAATTTCTGACATTGCCAATTAAACAGAAGACCCAATGCTATTATGGGCTTCTGTACTCTTTTAGAATATTTTGCTGAGTTTACACACCTATAATATTCAACAACGGAACTTAAAAAAAAATTGGGGTATAACTATGAATGTCCATTTTGTATCTGTGTATTGAAAGTGGTTGTGATAGATATATAGTTGCATTCTCTTAATGAATAGAATGATTTTTTCTAATGGTGTTTGTAAGTAGGATCACAAGTCTGCATCTTGTACAGCAATTAACCACTAAGAAGAATATATGCAGTGTATTATTTGTTGAAACTGTACTTTCGATTTGATTTGAAACTGTCTCATTGCTATATGTTTATCAATAAAACTTTGAAAAGAAAAAAAAATAAAATAAAATAAAAAGGAAAATTCATAAGAAATTGATAGGCATATAGATACATATAAACTAGCAAAGTTGAATCAAGAAGATATAAAAGTCCTGACTAATCTAACATCAGTCAATGAAATGAGAAAATTAAAAAGCTACCAATCAAGAAAGCCCACATCTTGGCAAATTCTACTAGAACTACAGAGAAGCTCTAATATCAATACTCTTCAAACTTTTAACAAACTTGAAAGGGAACCACAACTCCCAAACTAATTCCCTGAAACAACCATTAATCTGATTCCCAAACCAGAAAAGGATCCAACAAAAGAGAACTAAAGGTCAGTCTCCTTAACAAATAAAAATGCAGAAATCTTGAACGAGACATCGGCAAACAACGCAGCAAATCATCAAAAAGATCACACATCATGGATAGGCTTCATTCAATCCAGGAATGCAGGGACAGTCCAACACATGCAAATCAGTAAACGTAACAAACGATGAAAACTGAAACAAGGACAAAAGTCACTCTTAAGATATGCAGAAAAGGGCCAGTGAGATAGCTCAGCAGTCTAAGTGCCCGCCTAGGCATGCGCAAGGCCCAGGTTCCATCCCTGGCACCACATACCATGCCATGCCACACCATGCCGAGCCAAGCCAAGTTGACCACCAAGACTGGGTGTGGTAGCACACATCTGTAATCCCAGTGCTGGGCAGGCTGAAAACCGGAGGATCACAAGAAGTCTGAGTCGCAGAGTGAGATCCTGTACCAAATACAACTTTTTTAGAACAAGGGGTGGGGGGAGATGTAGGAAAAGCACTCGACAACATCCAGAATGCATTCATGATAAAAATCCTGAAGAAAATAGGTATAGAAAGGCCTTATCTCATTCTGCTAAAACCCATTTATGATAAACAGCCAATATCTTATTAAATGGAGAGAAGCTGAAAGTTTATACTATAAATTCAGGAAAAAAACAAGAGTTACCCAGAGCAATCAGAGAAAATAAAGGGGATACTTAGAGGAAAGAAATTATTATTATTTGCAAGCGATATGATCCTCTACACTGAAGCCCCAAAACCTCTACCAAAAATGCTCCTGAAGTTACCATGGTCACTACAGAGCTGTAGTATGTATGGTCCGCAACCACTGGCGCTACCCGCATGACTATTACAATGTGCGCCATGAGACAGGCATGCACGTCCCACTGGTGGAATTTTAATTTCTTGTTATATAAGAAAACTATATCTATAGGCATTAGTCATTATTATATTGTTGTTTATAGGTAAAAAATATTTGTTACAATTTATGTAGACTTAAGAAAAATTTAAAAAATTTTACATTTGAATCTGGTTTAATCCCATACTGTTTTGTAACAGATGTTGTGTTTCATTACCTAAAAACCTCAACTTACCTCATTCTTCCATAGATGATACTGTAGTGCAAATGTCGTAAAGTCTCTTTGAACACAGAAAAACTTGCATTTTGAAGCAGAGCCATAAGAAATGTTTTTGACATGTTCAAAGTTTTTATTAATCAACTCCAGAATCAAAGGATCAATAAGGAACACTGGTACATTTTGGCTGGATGTCAGCATAAGAAATTTTTTAACTGCACGCTGTTAAGAGAGAAGAAAACATCTTCGTCAATATCATTAAATCAATAGTGTTTACCCAATAGGCACCATGTCTATGACTGCACTAAAAAAAAGCAAGAAATAGCACCTGTGGTTCCTGCACTCAAAAAGTACCATTTTCATTCCTTTTTCTTTCTTTCTTTTTTTTTTGGGGGGGTGGGGGGTGGACCAGGGACTGAACTCAGGCCCTTGTGCTTGCCAGGGAAGCGCTTATTCTACTGAGCCATCTCCCCAGCCCCTATAGGATTTCTTTTTTTTTTTTTTTGGCTGGCTCAGGCTGCCTTCAGGGCAGGTCTGGTAAGGCCTGAGGTCTGGGGATCAAACCATAGCATTATGAGCTTGACTGCTTTGTTTAAGCAGTCACTTAAACAACTGAGCTAATGGGCAGGCCCCTTGTCTACTCTTTAAAGCTGTAAACCGTTACAAAACCTTAAAAATATAAAAATAAATTCTGAATCACATTCTTCCTATTTACAGTGTTGCTCAGTAACACTTCTAGGCAAAACATTCAGAACAAAATACATTGCCTACTTCATCATTCTCATATAAAAAGGATTTTTTAATACTACTTTAACATTTTTAAATATAATTCTGCTGGACAGTAAATAGGGTCCTCTACTGAAAACAGAAATTTCACAATGAAAATGAAAATAGGAAAGTAAAACACTGGAAAGTAAAAAACGAATAACTGATATACATTAACATGAGATTTAAATGAATGTAAAGCACATCAAAAGATTCTTCAAGGAATTAAAACTAATTTTAAAAAAACCTTAATTCACAAAATTGTTATTGAAGACATATATAAGATAATATATAGACAATGATACTGAGAGGTTTTCTTTTTCAACTTTATTTTTTGGTACTGGGAATTGAACTCAGGACTTTGTACTTGCCAGGCAGGCACTATACCACTGAGCTAGATCCTCAGCCCAATACTGAAAGTTTTAAGAAATAAAAAAAGAATGTGATAAAGATAGGAACCAGTCATTTTTTTGAGTATAGACTATTATACAAATTCCAAGAACATAATAAATCTCTGTCATAAGGAAGTTCATTATTTCTTTGTGGGAGAGGCAGCTAAATAAAAAATTAACATTTTATGCCAAAAATTCACCATCTTGGATGAAATGGACAACTTTCTTTAAAACTACAATCTAAGGGCGCTGGCAAGATAGCTCAGTGGACTAAAGCGCCTTCTTAGGCAAGTGCAGAGACCACAGTTCAACTGTGTGTCATTCCCACCCCCAGGTCAGGCTGAGCCAGCCAGAGTCCAGGTGTGGTGGCGCATGCCTGTACCCCCAGTGATCCCAGTGTTGGGGAGGCTGAAAGCAGGAGGATCATTATGAGTCCGAGCTGCATAGTGAGACCCTACAACAACCAAATTTCATAAAATAAATAAATAAAAATACAACCTAACAAAACTGCTAGTAGAAAGTTTCATTATTGTTTCTTTTTTCTAAGAATCTTAATGGCTTATGCCTTATACTCTAAGTAACTTGAAGACAATGAATGATACACAGTACATCAACTTGTTATTCTCTTATTTTGTTAAGGAATTTTATTTATTTTTTCATAAAATTGAAAAAGATGACAAGTAATTTTAATTGCTCCATAATTACTTAGCAAACTACATTTGTCATTTAAAAATAGAAGAGCTGCCCTCAAAAATAAAATAAGAACTCAAGACTCAGGTGATTCACTTTTCAATTCAAAGTTTTAGGGAAGAATACAAATTCTATGTACACTTTCAGAAAACTAAGTATTTCCTAGCTGATTTATGATGTTCACACAACACAGCAAACTCTGACAGATATTACAACAAAAGAAAAATTATAGACCACCATCCTCATAAATGTAGATATAAAAATATTTAAGTATTCAAAATCAAATTCCAATAATTAAAACTGTTTCATTCACTAAGAGGTATGGAGATACTGCCTGAAAGCTGTTGCTTAATCCATAAAATACAAAATCTTCTAATCCAATGGAAGGTATTTTAACTTTAAAATTTTTCCTAAACATGTTCTTTAAGTGTACACATCAAGACTCAGGATACATTTGAGAAATCTGTTACCACAACTATAATTATAGTTTTTATTATTATTTTTATGTACAGGGTCTACAGGGTCTCACTGCATAGATCAGACTTGTAGTGATTCTCCTGTTTTCAGCCTCCCAGGCACTGGGATTACAGGCGCACACCACCACGCTGTCTCAATCGCCATCTCAGCGTACCCCTGGTGGGTGGGGGGAGAAGGTTGTGCGTGGCGTGCTAGGGATAGAACCTGGGCCACTGCTCTCTGCCTAAGCTGGCACTTTAGTCGGCTGAGCTAGCCCTTATTACAGTTTAGAATGTTAACATTTATGATAGATTGCTCCTAATGCCTTCAAGACAGGCATATTCCCAGCTGTTAAAAAACAGATTTTAAAATTTTAACATACTGGGGCTAGGGAGATGGCTCAGTGGAATAAGTGCTTCTCCGGCGAGCGCAAGGGCCTGAGTTCAATCTCCGGTTCCACCAAAAAAAAAAAAAAAAAAATTTAACATACTATTTAATTCATAGGAAAATAAATTTAGTGTGTGTGTATGTTTCTTAAGAGTGAAATGGGGGGGGCGGGGAGATGGCTCAGTGGAATAAGCACTTCCCTGGCATACACAAGGGCCTGAGTTCAATCCCCAGTTCTGCCAAAAAAAAAAAAAAAAAAAAAAAAAAAAGAGTGAAATGGGGGTACAGAAGGGTACAGCAAGTGCACAAAATAAGACCACCCCAAATCAACAGAGCAAAATATATGCTACTTTTAATAAACTGCAAGTTCACATTGATATTTCCAGTCTAAATAAAATCCAATAGTATGATATCCCAGACTTTTATCCCTTCTAAATCAGTAGCTGAAGTCCAGTTGATACCTGCGGTAACTTCATCACTATGCAGTGACTTGGAAATTCTAATTTAAAGCCTTCCACATCTTTGGATACAAAGGAATTAGAAATCAAATTGTATCCACAGAAATAGGCGGTCATTTTCTATAACACATATTAACAGGATACATATTATTTATTAGTAATCTAGTGTTGTTTTTCATTCTAAGTATAGGTTAGAAAAAGCTAAGTATATTGCAAATGTGCAGATTGTGACAACTGGAAAACAAAACAAAGCTGTAATACATACAGTACTAGTTTCCCTCATTTTATGCATGAAGCACATTGAATAGATTTTTATCTCTAATTATTAATTCTCCCTTATTCCTAGTTCAGTTCTGATTCTCATTCATTCATCTGAGCAAGCATCACAGCTCAACAAATGAGAGATCTGGAGGCAGAGAATTGACTGAGAGTCAAGAGTATGCACCAATCTATTACGATTTCTATAAGGACCTGCTACTATCCACCCCATTCCTATTAGAGTGTGTGTGTGTGTGTGTGTGTGTGTGTATGTGTGTGTGTGTGAATAGATAGCAACTATTGTCTTTACTATTTTCATTCAACAAATACTTAAGAAATATACAAATGAATGAACTGTATGAATACTATAATTGAGAAATTTCTAATTTATTGTACGTACCCACTGTATACTATCAAATCCAATTCTACTTCCTTTTGATTTTGATAAACCAGCTCCATGCTAGAAAGGTAACAAAAGATTTAGTCAATTAAAAACCCTGCAGGAAACACTTTTGGATGAGTACAAGAGTCAAATGGTATACAGTAATTAGCGTGCAGTCGTTGAAAAGCATTACCTAAATACTTATTTTCACGTACAAGGAGCCAAGAATTCTATGGTTCTATAACATAACAATCTAATACGTAAAATACTAACAAAAGTTGTTAAACAGTTGTCTCTGCACTAATGCCCATCAATGAACAGCAAACTCTGCTACCTCCAGTGAGTCAGTTTTTCCACTCAGTTCTGCAGTTTTAACCTCAACTTATTTCCTTACACCAAATTAGTGTCTTCAGATTTTGGCATAGTGATAAAAAAGCATATTTACTGAGCAGCTCTTCAGTGTCAGGTCCTATGCCATGTCTATGTATGAATTACATATTAACATCTATCCCTCACAGTAATAAAGTAGGCCTTATTTCCGGTTCACAGACAGCCCTGGTGCCCACTCTTTTCCTAAGATACAGCATAGTTTCAGATGTTAAGAGTGATTTCTTAAATAATATTTTAAAAAAAATATTTAGGTCTAGAGAATCAAGAGAAAGAAATAATCAGTTTTTATATGATAAGCTGAAATACTTTGAAAATAACAGGAGGAAGCATGTCGGATGTTCTAGAGGCAAGAGAAAGAAGGCTTCAAGGCCAAAGGAGACCCAAAGAAATTTCTTATTCTTCCAATGTGTTCTTCATCTAAATGATCAAAATGGGGCAATGTTGAAGAATAAGCAGGGTAGCCTCACCTTAAAAGTGAAATGAGGGCTGGTGAGATACCTCAGTGGACTAAGCGCCTGCTTAGGCAAGCACAGGGACCAGGATTTGATCCCCAGCACCACATGCTGTGCTGGCCCCTCCCATCTGGTGCACTGAGCCCACCATGAGACTGGGCATGACGGCGCATGCTTGTAATCCCAGCTCCGGGGAGGCTTGAAAACAGAAGAATCACTATGAGTCCAAGTCTGAGCTGCACAGTGAGACCCTGTACCAAATAAAGAGTGAAATGAGTTCCAATTCGTATAATAGGAAGTTTCTTCTCACTATAAAACATACTCAAGGGCAGGCACCGAGTTAATCCCTCTCTATGGCACTACTGCTTAGCACAGTGCTTGGCAGGCAGTGAGTGCTTACTATGGGCTTGTTAATGATGTGGAGGAGGAGGAGACAGGGATGAATATATTGATCAGGGCAGAATCAGAGTTGATTTATCCTCACAAGCTTTACAACTTAGTCAACAATATTTTAGTACAAACAGATCAGATTTTTTTTTTAAAAAAGGCAGCTTTGTAGCCTTTGATCCTAGAGATTGTAGATTCTGTTACCAGCATTTCTTGCTCACCACAGCCCTACGTTAGTAGACAGATTTCCTGAGCTGTTTAATCCCTTGCATTTGCGATTAGTAAATTTCTAGTGAACTAGATTACATTTTCACTGCACTACAGATCACATAACATGAAAATTTCCCTTTTAAAGTATATAATTTGGTAGTAGTAACATATTTACAAGGGCTGGTGATATAGCTCAGGGGCAATACAAGGTCCTGAGTTTAATCCCTAGTACAAAAACCCAAAAAAATCCCCAGACTATATTTACAGAGTTGTGTAACTATTGCTATTATCCAGAACATTTTCACTGTGCCCAGAAGAAACCACATTCTCATTATCAGAAACTCCCTTGTCTTTCTGCTCTCAGCCCCAACCATAACACTACTTTATTGTTATTTTCTTCTCTATCAATTCACCAGGTATAGATGTTTCATAAAAATGGAATCATGGTATGTGTCTTTCTGTCTCACTTCTTCCACTTAGTATAATGTTGTCAAAGGTTCATCAAGACAGTAGGATGTACCCGTACATAATTGCCCTTAGTGGCTCATCATTTGACGAACATTTGGGTAATTTCACATTTGGCAATTATAAACAATGTCATCAAAAACATTCATGGTTTCTAAGTCACACCCTTGTAAATACTTAGAACTTGCCTCCACATCACTTCATTTACTTGCTTAGTGAAAATCCAACCCCCTATTTACTCTGTACATGGAACTATACCTGCTCAGTGGTGTCTCTTAAGTTTATGACTACTAGTTACACGTCGGCCTTAACTCTGCCTAGCAACCATCCTATTTCCCTTGTCTATTTTCATTGTCCCAGATGACTATTCAGTTGCCTTTCAATACTTCCTCCCTATCTATCTTTACATCATTGCTCTCTATTTCCCCCAGAAAATAAAAGAACTTCAAGCGGTTATATTCACTTGAGCTTAAATGCATGCTGTCAAGCATTCATGAAGATCACCATGACCTCCATACTGCTAAATCCAACAGTTAATTATTATTTGTGCTTGTCTCATTTGATGTACCAAGAACTGAAATGTTCTGCCTCACTAAAACATTTCATTCCTTTGGCTGTCAGGATCCCCCATACTTCTAGGTTTCCTACTGTTTCTCTCTGGCTACTCCTTAGTTTCACTGGCTTGCTCTTCCCACTTCCCCAGTCAGCTGAAGGGCCCCCAGGCTTAGATCTTGAGCAGGCATGTCTGTCGGTTTGTCTGCTCTCTCTCTTCCGAGCTGTGGCTGTATAGAGGAAATGCAATCACTGTCAAGGAGCGACCCTACAGATAGAGAACCAAAGAATGAACAACCTGACCTCCTCTTCTTCCTAGTTTCCAATTTCCAGTTGATGCTTTCCATTGGCTGACCCCAGCTGGGCAAAGGCTAAGGGAGCTCAGCTAATGCAGTCAGCCTCCATGGCCCAGAGTAAGGTGAGGAAAGGCTCGAGAGAGGTAAACACAGAACATCCTATACACTGTTCTATGAAGCATGGATCGGAGTTTTCATAGGTATGCTGTGTAGAGACAGGGCAAGCCTACTCCCTAACACTGTGTCTAAGCTACCGGGATTAGGGGGATGTGAAACCTAATCAGTGGACTAATTTAATAATCATTCACCCTTAATCCTAGCATTGCACAATAAATCAATCACACGTTCCAGACCCAGCACTTCTAACAAGACCACCTATGATGGCATGAGGCTTTGGGGGGACATCCACATAAAAGGCATCACCCTAAGCAAACGTCCCTTTTTCCTGAACAAATGATAGACTTTAGTGTAATCTTTCCTGTGGATCATGAGAACCTTTGTAGTCTTTCTCAATAAAGAGATAGGTATTTACTACTAGAAGAGGCTAATACTTTTTAGAAAAGTTGTCTCCACTCTAGATACAGAAAAAGGTAACTTATACTACTACTATTCCCTGGTAGATTCTAATTGAAATACAAATAATAGTAACAAACTAATTCTAGTATCTTATTAAATTTGTCATTAATTTCATTTAAGTGAAGGACTGTTTAGCAGAACAGCAAGGGGTTGTCTGTTCAGCAGGAAAACAATTTTGTATTAAATCAGAAAATGTTAATACCTGAAATGGTACCGAAACTTGACACTTTGGACTTTATGATAACTACAAAAACATTCAACTGCACTTCCGATTACATGCTACACCCTACAAAAATGAGTTTCAGTAAAAAGTGTTTCTGCAAAGATTGAAAAACTATTAATATATATCCCAAATGAGAGGTATGTTAAGAAAAATACCGTCTAAACAAAGTCAAATGATAAGGAAAAACATTACCTTTGCTGATAAATAGTGCTTGTAGTAGTACAACTGAAACAGCAGAAACGCAGAGCTCGACAGTGTGAAAAGGGCCAAAATCACGTTCTTACTGATTCTACTCATCTGTCTGCGGTATTCACTTTGTTGTCTTTTGTGAGTAACCCAGTTATTTGCATCGTTTTAGGTAGGAAGATAAACTTCTTTTCTGCAGGCAAAATATATTTTTGAAGAGATAAAACATTATTTTAAATTTCTTACCACTAAAATTAGCAATAGCAGACAAAAAAATACCTTAAGTTCCAGAGAACATTTTGGCCAAGGGGAGGGAGGGGCTTCTCGAAAGCGTCTGATCCAGCAGAACTGGTGTGGAACCTACGAAAGTGCATCTGACAGGCTCCTGGGTGATCCTGCAGATGCTGACCACACTGAGAACTACACCGTGGACCACGAAACTCAAAACATTTTTGGTCAAGAGACATGGTCTACATCACAGACCTATGTAGATGTTTCTTTTTTCTGTGTAGTTTTTTGAGGGAGAGAGAATGCGTGCGTGCGTGTGTGTGTGTGTGTGTGTGTGTGTGTGTGCGCATGCGCATGCATGCATGCAATCTGGGATGCAGTCAGCTTTTTAAAAAATATCCTATGTTTGGTTTCAGCTTTTTGAAAATATAAAGCATGTCCTGATAAACATTTTTATTTTTTCAGCCTAGGTCCCATGTCTGATTATTTTTTTTAGGGTTAAGATATTTAATTTAGTTATACTATGTCTTCCAATGTCCTGTCCAATTTTTGATTAGGGGTGTTACTGGAGGTTGAACCCAGGACCTCCTGCATGCTAGACAGGTGTCTAATACTTGATTAAATATATTTAAGGTTTCTATTGTTTACTTTTACTCCTTCAAACATCGTAACACCTTTACTATGTGATGTCTACCTTTATAAATAAATTTTTGGTCTCCAGCTATAAGAAACTGGCAAATTTATGCTTTCTGTCTTCTTTCCTCTTTTAATCCTAACTTTAAAAGCTACTTCCACTTTGTAATAGTTCTATACTTACCTGGCAGGGCAGATACCATGATCACGAAAGTGGTTTTCCCAGGGCGAGGCTTATCCATTGCACTTTGTAATAGTTCTACTCCATAACTACATATCTTAGTCTTTCTTACAATGTTCCCTGAAAATCCTATTGCTGCATTATCTCTGCTCATTTGGTATTTACCTTTCTGCAGTTTATCAAAAAGCACTTAAGGGTACTACTTGAGTATTTACACTGTTCAAAAAATAGTTATCAACTGAATATCTAGCTTCTAGGTCACATTTTATTTTACCTGATCACTTACAAGCTTCATACACTGTCCTGTAATATGAAATACTCCCTGGACAGTATCTTATTCTCCATCCTCATCAATAGGGCCTGTGAGCTGCTCAGGGAGATGAGCAAGGGATGCAAACATCATTATCCGTAACATCCGATTTTTGTCAAACTAGATTATGCATTGATGGTGATGAGTGCATATTATTTTCTTAGCCTTTGTATGTTGTTTTAATCAGTAAAATAAAGATTCTTGAGGAAATTATTCTATTTTACTTTGTTTTTTAAACATAATAAAATGACAGATTTTCAAAACAAGATGATAGGAAGTTCACAATGATTATTATATTGCATAGTTATCCTCGAAGTAGTTGCTCAGATTACCAGATACAGGCATGCAAAATTAATCAAATATAAGCACTAACTGTTCCTTTCAATAAAGAAATAGAAAGTAATAGTATAATTATCTTACCTGTCGTATCTATATATCCATCTCTTTATCTATCTATCTATCTATCTATCTATCTATCTATCTATCTATCTATCTCTTTTGTCTCCCTTACTCTCTTTTGTCCTAACCCAGTTGTTCTTTCTTTTTGAGCAGTTTCCTTCCCTTTCACAAATCACTTTCCTCTCAACACAAGTATTACCTGCTGGAACTCAACAGAATTCTCATTTTTGTCAAACACATGGTTTACATGTGCTTTTTAGAAACCTACATTCAAAATACAAATTATCTATGGGCTATTGGTGTAGCTGAATGCTTGCCTAGCATGCCTGAGGCCCTGGGCTCAAAAGCCAGCCTTGCAAACACTAAATAAATGTGCAAAATAATAAATGAAATAAAAATAACATTTAAAAAATCTTAGAGCTAGGGATGTGGCTCAGCGGTAGAGCAATGGTCTTAAATGTGTGTAGACCTGGGAGCAATCCTTAGCTCTAGAAAAAAAGTAATCACCTAGATCCCCAAAAATTCAAGTCTGGTGCTACAATTCTTTTGACATTCCTCTCATTTCTTTCTTCTTCCTTTTTTAGTTCACTGTGTTTTCTTCCCACTTGGAGTTCCTTCATCATCCAATGCTACCCTTCCCAAATCCTTGACACTCATTTAATATATTTCTAACAGATTCTAAAATGAGTGCTATTCCTGACACCTATAGTTTTATTCACAGTGGCCAACCAGAGATGGTTCCTAACCATTCAAACCCTATTCCTCCTCTGAGTCCAACTCTATCACAGCCTTTCCTTCTGGGCTTCCCCTTTTCCCAGTTCCTAGTGTACTGTCCCCTATCATTCTTTCATAGTTGTTCACAGGCTGATTTTTACTTGTTTGAAATCTGCTATCTTCAAAGGTAGAAAGACCCTCAGATGTCATCTAGATCCTCTTTTAGGTCTGAGAAAAGTGAGTCCCAAAGAAAAGTGTTTTGCCTAATATTACTTGAGATATTGGTGACAGTGAGGCAGTCGTTCTCCAGATTCTAAGCCAAAGTTTCTAACACTCACCTTTACACATACCGATCTTGCCTGGCATTCCCCATTGATAATGCAAACAAAATGCAGATACCAAGCTCATAAGAAAGTTTAGCACAACCTAATAATAACTTTAGCACACTAAGTGTCTACCCTATTAAGCACAAGAACGACATATACTTCTCCAAATGAAATGAAAGCTGAACGCAGGGGGTAGCATCAAGAGAGAGAGGGATAAATCAAACTATCTCCTTGTTACAAAAGTGACAGCCGGGAATAGTGGCACAGGCAGGAGGAATAACTGCAAGTTAATGACCAAAATAGGCAACTTGGTGACTCAGGACGATTCTGCCCAAAATACGAAATAAAAGGATTGAAGGGGGCAGGGAAAATAGCTCAGCGGTCTAAGCGCCTGCCTGGCAAGCACAAGGACCCGGGTTTGATTCCTGGTACCACATGCCATGCTGGCCTGGATCACCATGCCAGCCACCAAAACTAGGTGTGGTGGTGCATGCCTGCAATCCCAGCGCTGGGGAGGTTGAGACAGGACGATCATTGCGAGTCCGACCTGAGTAGTGAGACCCTGTACCAAATACACACACAAATAAAGATTTAAAATAATGTTTTAAAAAGGATTGGAGATGCAGCGGTGCAAAGGCTCTGGGTTCAAGCCTCAGCACGGGGCGCGGGGAAAGCTGTCAGGGCTCCCGGAGCACACAGAACGTCGCATCCTTTGCCCGCAAAGCCACCAGTCTTCCCGGCTGGCGCCCCCGCGAGCGGCCGTCACTCCTGCTTCCTCCCCCTACTTCGCTCTCCCAGCCGCGGCGCCGACGTGCACGCACAGCTGCCGAACCCTTGCGGTTCCTTCCCCGCTTTTCTACACTTGCAAACCCGAAAGGCGCCCTCCGGGGATCCCCTCGCAAACTCCAAGTCGCCTTTCACCGCACGCCCTCACCCCGCGGCTCTCCCGGCCTCTGCACAAGGATCTCGATCGCCCGCAGCAAGGGAGAACCGCACCTGCAGACGAGTCCGGGAGCGTGGAAAGAAGCGGTCGGGGGAGCGCGCCCAGCCGGGGCCGGCCTCGGTCTCCGGCCGTCCCGGGGAAGGCAGGAGTCCCGAGCCCAGGAGCCGCCCGCAACGGAACCAGAGCCGCAGCAACAAGCGCCCGAGGGCGCTCGCCCACGCCCTGCCACCCGCGGAACGCGGGGCTCACGTCGCCCCGCCGGCCCGCCCCCAGCAGCTGCGCTTTACGGCACTCACGACAGCCGCCGCCGCAAAAGGCGCCGTCGGCCGCGCAGCCGCGGACGCCGCGGGTGGAGTCAGGCAGTCTTGGTGTCCCGGACGGCCTCGCGTCGGCTTCGTTGCAGTCGCTGTCGGGTCACCCGACGGTTACACAGCTTCAGCGAGTTCCTCGCTTTCACAGCCTGGCCGCAGCGACAGCGCTTCCGTCGCTCGCCAGGGTAGCACGGCCGCGCCCGGAGGCGAGGACAGCGGTAGGAAGCCCCGTCCGGCGGTGGCCGCGCCGCGGAGCCGCGGGCCAGCACTCGGGCTTGGACACGACTAGCTGAGAGACGGAGTAACAGCCTGCTGACGTTGGGCGGGCTGCGGAAAACGCGAGCGCTATAAACGGGGGACAAGCTCAGGAGACAGAAACCAGCCGACCACCACAGGGGACGAGCTGCTGTGCCCAAATGATTTTTACAGAGAGACGAGCTGCCTGCATTTCACGGGGCTGATGGCGAGTTTCCCGCCTGGCACCCTAGCTCCAGCCGGCTGAGCTTCCAGTTGGAGGCTGGAAAGATGAGTTATTAAGGAGCAGATGTGGTGTTTTGATGTGCACTTTTGAAAACTAGCGAAACGAACAAATTACCGTCGTTTTTAGTTTTTTATAAATATTGTCATCAGCCTGTAGTAAAAACAACGTATTGTTTTCTAATTTTTTTTAAAAAAATTGTATTATAGAGATGAATAATAAGTCTCCCTTACCTCCTAATGGTTGACTTTGCTTCCAGAAATTTTCTGTGTATGTACAGGATTACTCTAGCAGTGTGCTTACTCCGCAGTGCACTCAGAACTACTATGCAGTTGGTAAGTTATTAAAAACATCGCTAAGAGGAAAGTAACACAGTAGTACATAGAAGGGTTGTGGAATGATTGGTCATCGGTACTAGTTTGAGGAACCTGAAGTGGAAAATATAAGATCTAACAGTAGAACCTATTGATTGAAAACAAATACATAAAAATTCTTGGGGCCCAGGGTTGTAGCTCAGTGGTGGCCTACCTAGCTCCACAAAAAAGGGAAGAAATCATTTTTTGATAACGTCTTAAAAATAAAACCCAGCCATTATTGAAGCTTGCCAGGGCAGTATTTCCCCTTCTCTGAAACTTTATGATAAAGGGAACTACATCAAGCATTTAGTCTGCCTTTCTTCTACAAGTATTTCAGGATAACCGATTGCTAATAGGAATCCAGCTAATAATGATAGATCATCCTTTTTTTTCTAATAGAAAGGGTAACATTCATCAATAAATATTAAAAGGTGAGAGACAGGAAACTTTATAATAGACACATTAGGCTAGCCCTGCCCAAGCCCGCTCATCGGTATTGGTATCACTAAGTGTATGACAGCCAGACATTAGGTACTTCCTGATTTGATAGAAGCACACAGTACACAGCACCATATGTGAAGAATTATCACTGGAAGGTTGAACCTACATTTAATGCAAACTCTAGATCTAACAGTATAAACAATCAGCTAAACTCAAAATGGGGTACATTCTGTAAGACTGCTGCTCCAGTTCTATTAGTGTCATTTAGATAGAGATGGGGACTACTATAAAATCAGAGACAATCAAATGCATTGGGAGACCCTTTCTGGATCCTGATTTGAATAAGCCAACCATAAGAAGACATGTTTGAGACAACTGGAATGTTAATTATGAATTGTCATTAAATGACAGTAAAAAATTATTTCCGGAAATTTAACGAATGTGACTACTTTTAAAAAGTCTTTCTGGGGGCTGGGGAGATAGCTCAGTGGCTTAAATTCCTGCCTGGCAAACATTTGATCCCTGGTACCAAAAAAAAAAAAAAAAAAAAATCTTGTGTATTGCAGTACTTAAGAGATGACATTTTGTATGACACAAACATGAAAGCAGGTTGACTGATAGTCTAGATGATGAGTATAAATTTATTTTAATAATGTACTTTTCTGTGCTTGGAAATTGTAAGGAAAGTAAAAAAAAAAAAGGAACAAAATTAACGAATGCTAAGTTCATAGCAAATCTTGCTCTGCATAAACCTTAAAAAAAATGCAGTTGAAGTAGATGATAACATTGGCCGATGTTCTAAGTCACTGTTAGGGGATATTTTTCTTATAAATAAAAGGCATAATACATCATCTATAATTTGGTTCTGTAGGATGAACCTGAACTTAAAGATACAAATCAAAGAACTTGATGAATTCAGTCATTATTTGTGGGGAAGGGCAATCCTTTCCCATCACTTAGGATTACCTTGAACACAACTACTTTTGGGGGGGGGGCATTAGCCAGAGGTATGTGTGGAATAGATACGTAGACATAAGGGGCTTTTAGGAACCACAAGCCCAAAGCCTGGAGTGCATATCAGAGATTAAAAGCCTATAAGGAAGGCATCACATCCATGTAGAATCAAAACACATTGCAAGGAATATGTACTGATCCTTGTCCTCATCCGCCAATTTATTTAGAAGGGCTCTAAGTCCTTCCCCTGTCCCCTACATGAATTCCTGCACAGACAGCCTGCTTTTGTCCTTTGTCCCTGCTTCTTGGTTCTGTCAAAAAAAATAATAAGCCACATAAGCTTCAGTTCAGCGCTCTGTCTTCTGAGACTTGTGGAGAGGGGTTTTGGTTCAGGCAGCCCCTCTGGGCCCTCCTGGAGTGTAAACTGGATGCCGACTCTGAGTATTCACTCATCCTCTGCTCTGGGCCATGACCACAAACTGTGACAGCTCACCAGCAATTTTTTAGTTCTCATTTCTACAGTTTACCCCACTTTTCTAAAAGTTCCTCTCACTTTCCCTATAACAGTAACTTATTCTTTCAAATGTTTTAATATTTGAATTACATAATTATAGCAGTGCTGGCCACTAACATGAACAGATTTGGGAACAAGTAGCTAATGTGAAGTGAACATAATCCAACTGGTAGCAATGGTTAATTCTCAAATGTACCAGGGCTTTGGCTGTGAACTTTCAACTCACTGTAAAAATTAGTATGTTTCTTGTACAGCAAATAACCAGTAGGAAAAGTTTGCAATGTGTTAATTATTGAAACTGTCCTAATTTGATTTGAAACTGTCTCATTGCTATTTCTCAATAAAATTACAGAAAAAAAATTAGTATGCCTAATTATCATTAGCCAAAACAGTTAAAAGAGGGGTGCAGAATGGATAGTACCAGCTTCTATTACAGAAGGATTTTTTAATTTTTATTTTCCCCACTGGCTCGGGATGTCTTAAGGGCAGGTCTAGACAGGCATGAGGATCTGGGGATTGAACCACAGTATCGTGAGCCTGACTGCCTTTGCTTAAGCAGGCACTTAAACAGCTGAGCTAATGGGCAGGCCCCTCAGCTTCTACTACAAATGAAAATAATCTGTGAAAAACCACTCAGGTATGTGTGCGCACATATATCTCAGCCCACTCCTAACATTTGTGGGGTCTGGGTCAGAAAAAAAGAGTTGGAGGCCAATACTAACAATATGTTGCATGGCTAAGCAACTAAGAGCTAACAAATATATTCGTCTACTTTGACAGGTATTTCTTAAGGGACATTAAACTCAGCTGGTTTTAATATTGCTAGTTTCCTGCATGACATAAAGCAGACTGTTCTCCAATTTAGGGCTGGTAATAGTTTTAACAATGTAACTCAAATGTGGGAATTCAAATATGAGACACAGATTTCTCAGACATGTACTGTAAAGGGACAGAGACTGGGTAGACCTGGCGGTGCTCATGCACGTGGATACCCCAGTCTACACACCCAGGTTCTAGTCATACTTCCCACAAGTTCTTGCCCATAAAACTATATTGAGGTTTAGATTTAGACAGTCCCCCCAAACTGTGATGTACTCAAAGGCCAGGCTCATGGAAGATGATTGGATCATGGGGTGCTATCTTCATTGCTAATGAGTTCAGCAGCTGAGTGTGCTGGTAGAGGTGGGGCCCGGTTAGAGGCGAGCCAGACTGAGCAGGGGTGTGCATGACGTGGAAGGGTGCGGTATCTGCCTCCCAGCTCTATCCTTCTGCCTCTGCATGCTGGTTACCGTGATGTGAGCAGCTCTCCTCCACAACAGGCCCTTCCACCATGCTGTTTCCAGGTGTGACCCAGCCAACCATGTACTGAAACTGTGAACCAAAATAAACTGCTCTTCTTAAGTTAACGGTGTCAGGCATTTTGTCCCAGTGATGAGAAAGTGACAAAGACAAGGTATATATACCTACCTTGTGTTCTTTTTTCAGGCTGGACTTTGAGAAGAGGCCTACACATATCCTAGAGCAACCTTCTAGCTGATTAGCCAAGGAATTCCAAGGAAGTGGCTATCTGGTGCATAGTCTAGAAGTGGGCAGAAAAACTCTGAGGTAGGATAGTCACTTGGAAGTACAGACTGTGCACAAGTATCAGGTTTTCATTCCACTCAGAGCCAAGAGTGTGCAAATCAGATCAGGATCTTCAGCTTAAGTCTGAGTGCATGCACACATTCCTTTCCTGATAGCGTATCAGCTGTGAAGGCTTACATGAAAATACCGTATCAGTCCTTGTGCAAAATGGGCACAAACACACTATTAGTACTATATAGTATTATTAATAAGGAAAAACTTGGATAGGAAATTAAGAATGCACATCATTTCCCAATCTCTTACCACACAGAGATCCCAGTCAGAAAGGCTGGTTCACTAAGGGAAAGGCTCTAAATGAGGAAGCTGACTCTCATAATGGTCTACATATTTACAGCATGTTTACTGAGGACAGGGAGAAATGTGCACAATATTTTTAAGCTATATAAGAATGGCAGTTTGCTGGGGCTGAATGTTGGGAAAGGGTAGTCTTCAAAATTCTGATAGCCCCTTCTTTTGCTAATTTAGACCTGTCAGGCTAGCTGTGCATACCTCCAGAGCCATTTAGATTTGTCTTTCTTCAATTAACCATCAATTTGCTTAAATTTTACTGTCATAATACTAAAAAATAGGCTTGCAAGAGTAAATATGTAGGAGAAATACACAGAAATTAACTTTTTAAAGGAATGTGCATTTAAAATCTTGACTGTGCTAAATGGTTTGCCAGAAATTTTGTACCCACATGCTACCCACACTCTTACATGGTAACACTGGTTTCTCAATGTCTTTGTCATGTGCAAGACTAGCCAGTCATTCTCTTTGTAGAAACTATCTTAAATACAGCAGCTCCAGTCTTCTCACAGTCATGTTATTCTTTTATCTCATAAACTTGTTTAAAGTTAGCATACAAATTTTTAAAAGATACAGGTTTAGGTTCTGATTTTGACCGTCTTACTACTAGAATGAAATCTATGATATAAGCTTCAAAGAAATGAAATTTCTCATTTATATTATGATTCAGTATAGTATGTTTCATTCTCTATCACTGCAGTATATAGAACTAGAGCTGTCAACAACATGCACTTCTTTGTGTTTACATTAAACTTTCTAATTTAATTCAGTTGCTCAGTGCCGTACTCCCATTAGCTGCCTGTGGCTTGTAGCCACTGTATTAGTACAGATAGGTATACTTTCATCATTACCTAAAAATTGTTATATAACACTTATAAAATGTTTGGGGCAAAAGGATTAGGACTTTTAAATACTCTCATCCTCACAAACACAATGTAGATTTTAAATAAAAGTTGATCACACACTGAAGCAGAAGAAAACAAGAAAAAAGTTTAATTTTTACTTGAGATATTCCAGGTGCTTTTGTAAAAACTTAAAACTGAGACATTCTATACGTAACATACAATCATCTCAATATACAAGTTTCTCCACATTGAATACCCTATTTTCAAGTCAGAAAAACATTTAAAAGGCTTTTTTTGTTTGTAAGGAAAATGAGGCTTTGTGCTCATTGAAACACTTATTTTTCTGCACTGTGTACATATGTCATTAATGGTCTTCAAATGTAAGAGGTTAAACCTGAGAAGTTTAAGATTTTTATTATCACAACTGCATAGCAAGACCATGTCCTAATAACAGACATAACCAAAATCTGTATTTTTAAGTTACCTTGTAAACTTTTTAATAAATCCAACTTAAAGCAAAACAAATGTATCAGGAACAATAATAAGAGATATTCATGTTAACCAACAAGGTTTTGAAATACTTCACTTTTTTTTTTTTGAAAAAAAAAATGTCAACACAAATTAACCATTGATCTCATATCACTTATCCAGTAACAGTAAACTGCTGAATCATTCATTAGGCTGAGAGGAATTATTTAGGTCAAGTTCCCTCTTTGCATGTGGCACAGAATAGTCTTAAAAGTACAAATTCCTGGGGAGAAAGTAGCTCATTTATTTATGTCATTGTTCTACATGGACACACTAATACTGAGGGAGAACTTCTATACCTCTAGTCTTAAAAAATAGAGGATGGTATCAAAAGGCCAAGAGTCATGCACAAAGGAATTATTCAAGGGCATTTTAATAGATTTCATTTTTAAAATTATGTTTGAATTGTCTGGTGATACACTTTAAGAACATGCCTTATCAAAGTAACATTTAAAAGTATCCAAACAAATCCATTATTAACTAAAAATAACACCCTCTGTTTATATAGCACTTTCCTTTTGCTGTAACAAGTTTCACATCTTCCATTTCATTTTATTCCTCACAACCCTGCGAGGTAGGCAGAACACATTACAGTTATTTTAAGTAAGGCAACAGAGGCCCAAAGGTGATGATTTACACGAAGGTCACAGATCTTAATACACAGTAGTACTAAAGCGATTAATTTTAAATACTTTCAAAGAAATTAAGCCAAAATCTCTCCATATTATATACAGAGATTTTTAGAGACGAATGGCTTTAATATAAATTACTCCAAAACTTTAGCTACTATGTATCTTATGGTATCAGTTTCAAATTTGATTTTAAAGAGTCCCCCTTAAAACGTAAATTAGACTCAGTGCTTTGGTACCTCGGAAATATATGAAATACTTTTAAAAAAAAAGATTTTCAGTAGTCCTGTACTCTCTAAAAAGTTTCAATATTAATACAAATGACTTCTAATAAATCACTGACAAATTATCCGAAACTCAGTAAGCTCCAATCCAAAGCAAACACATTCCTCTACACTCTTTCCCACATACTAGGAAATCTACATGTCAATTCCTATGGACCAACTTACACTGACTGGAAACCCCTGTAAGAAAATGTCTCTTTAAATGAACATCACTTATACAAATATGAATCAAAAGTTAGTCTCTTGTTTTGACCCACAAAAACAAAGTTTTATTTTAATAATTGGGTAGCCTGAGGAAAAAAATGCTATGGCAATTTTTGTTGTTTATTAAGCCAATACTAACCTTTATATGGCATGTCCAATAATATTTTGAAAGAAAAAAGGTAACTAGTTCATTTAAACTTCAACTAATTCAAAATTATTTAAGCTATATATTCAAGGTAGCAAAGCTATCATATTTGACATAAAAACACAAGTGCAGAATGTAAATACTATAAGATACAAAACTAAAACTATAACTGAACATGAGGTAATCTTGCTATGATGATTAAGAAAATATTTATGGTCTCTTGTAATACTCCAGGGCTGGCATTATAAAGTATACATTTTGATTAAAAATAACAAATAACTTTATGGTTACCTAATATGTATAAATATATGCCAGCCATATTCACTTCTCTGAATGAATGTATCTAGCGTAGAAATAAAATACACTGAAGGTGAACCATGTAGTGTGCCGCCCAAAGGCTGTTTAAACTACAGCACTTTTTTTTTTTTTTTTTTAACTTCGGACTTCTTAGCAAAACATTTTAAAGATATAGTTAGTCTCTGTCACACTACTCAAAGCAGCAGAAATAGGAACACATACTTCACCAGTTTTCGAAATGTGAATACAAAATAATTTCAACTGATGTATCATTCATTTATATTTTTGTATAACTGAGCCAATGAATGCTGATGTAAAATGCTTATTTCAAAAATGAATTATGATTTGAAAATACAGTAAACTTTTTAAGCTTAGACTCACAGTTCATACTGAGAAGTTAGAACTTAACAGTCTTTGGAATAATCACTTTCCAAATAACTTCTCCAATTTCTAAAAAAATAAAAATGTATAAATAATTATTTTTATGGGGAAGTATATATAGAAAAACTAATTTTGGGTAAGTCATGAAATAGGACGTATTAGCCCAATTTAAAGATTTTATGACACTTTTACTACCAAAGATCATCTACAAAAAAATCAAATTACATATGATGTTGTTCATGTGTTAATTTTATTTATTTATTTATTTTTTGGCAGAACCAAGGATTGAACTCAGGCCCTTGAACTTGCCAGGGAAGTGCTTTTTCCACTGAGCCATCTCCCCAGCCCATGTGTTAATTTTATAAGTGAGAAATTAAATTTATCCCAGTATGTCTCTATACTACTGTAGGGGTAAAACTTACTGCTTACCCAACAGTAAGTAGGTCAAATTTAGCTGAATAGCTATTGTTCACACTTGTGAAGAATGGTATAGATGCTATCTATGAACTAAACCTAAATATAGCCAGACATGCTCTTAATACTTTTAATTTGTTTACCTACACCTGGAACATTCAAAGAATCACTATATGCTAGATTTCTATATGCATTGGTACATATGTACATATTTACCAAAAGTTAAAAGTTGTATGTGATGATCAGCTGAAAGAGTCAAAATGATTTTTTTCTAAAGTGCTTAAGGCAGCTTCTTCATTTCTCATTTTAAAAAATCTTTTATTTATTTATTTCTTTATTTGGTATAGGGTCTCACTACGCAGCTCGGACTTGCAGTGATCCTCCTGTCTCAGCTTACCCAGCATGCGCCACTACACCTGGTTTTGGGGTCAGCACAGCAGCATGGCATGTGGTACGGGGGATGGAACTCAAGTCCTTGCGCTTGTCAGGCAGGCGATTATGCCCGTTAATCTATCTCCCTGGCCCTCCTTCATTTCTATATCCAGTTTAATAAAACTGGTTTGGAATCCAACTGCTGACGGGGAAATGCAATGCTAAATGCATGTTTTTCTAAAATATAACTTGCTACACCTATGATATACCCATTGCAGTCAACTCTCATGCATTTCCTTTACAGAAAGCAGTCATGTTTAACTGGTAAAAACAAGGGGTAAATAAAACAAACAACAACAACAACAAAAATTGAAAGGATTTGCCAACTTTCCACAGTGTAGTCAGTAAAAACTCTATTTTTAACTCACAAGTCAATAAGAATGTTATGAATATGCAGTAGTTTCTCTGAGACTTTAAATAGGCACTATTTTTTTAACATTTCAAAATGAGATGTTTAATTTAATAACTGAACTTTAAAAATTTGAAAACTAAACACATGTTTAGCAGAGAAAGGGAAAAGAAGCAGAGAGAGAAACCATCCAATCCTTATTTTGAAGTACCAATAGTATTAATTCGAAAAATTACACATGATGTAAACTTAAACTTGGGCTCTGGATTTACTGAATTTATATTTATTCCTGCGAAGTTGCTGAGAAAGAAAGCCTTCCAAAGAAATACACATTTTACAAATGAATGTTAAAATTTTTATATAAAAATGTTAAAATGATGACATGAGCACAAGAAAAATAATATGCACTCCTCTAGCCCCATATTAATACTTCCTTTTCTGCATGACCCTCACCACCATATTACAATGCTGCCTGGCTTCAATATCAGTTGATACTGCACAGGGCGTGGAGCAAGAGCATGCTTAGAGGAAAAGGCACTGAATTAATGAGAAGACACATTATGTAACATGTAAGAGTAAAAAAATTCTATACTAGAACATCTAGCTTTATCTGTATCATTTTTTCTAAGTTATACTGTATAGCTACTGAAATAAAGCAACTCCACTAAATCACTGCTTTCAGGTTTGAATCTATGAAAAGGGATAATAACCAATTTCTTAGGTCCTGGAATACCACTTCTACAGGGAACAGAATATCTAACAATTTCTTTTGAAATACGAGAAACAAAAATAAAATTTTTAGAGAATCAAAACACTATCAATTAACATACTTCACTTTCTAAACTGCTGATAGGCTTTAAAATGATCACCAAATGCAGTCAGTGCAAATACTTGTCTTTTGGGAAAAACAATGGCCTCGGTCAAAATTACACAAAATGTTTTAACAATGGAACAAAACATCATATTAGTAACCAGTAAATTTTAAGAGGAAATTAGTGATTAGTATTACACAGGTCTTTATACAGAAAGCAGCTCATTAGCAGCAATGACTTCTTAGGGAAAAGTTGTTACACACAGCACAAGATATTTAATATAAGAATGAAAGAACAAGAGAAAAATTTCAAAAATTAAAGAAAATACAAATTGATTTCCTTAAAATGTTCAAGAAATTGTTAAATACTGTAACTGCTATTTTTTGGCTCAAAGAAGTTCAGTTAAACATTTTAATAAACTTTTTAAGAACTGATTTTTTTCTGTTCAACAGTCAATTACAGGTTTTACGTGTTTATATTTTCCTCAAGTTTGGGAAAACTGTATTGAGTTTTGGAAGAATTACAGCTCTTTGGAAAGCAAATGAATACAACAAAAGGACTGAGGAAAAGTATCTTCTGAATATATATATTTGAAATCATAAATATACAGACTTATTCAAAAACCATTGCTTAACCCATTCCATATGTTACAATACTTGTTGGCAGCTCCCTTTATAATTTATTTTTCTTAGATAAAAGTTGAGAATTGTTTTCTATACTTCATATAATTGTTTCAATATACTTTTATTCCTGTAAGTGATGTTAAAAATCAGCAATAACTATGTACCTTTTTTTGGTATTGGAGATTGAATACACTGGACTATATCCTCAATGCTTTTTTAAAACCATTTCATTATGAGACAAGGTATCTACACTGCCAATGCTAGGTTCAAACTTCTGACTCTCCTGTCTCAGCCTCCCAGACTGCTGGGATTACAAGCTTCAGCCACCACAAATGGCTAAAAATGACCATTAAAGTTGGGGTTAAACTACCCAACAAAGTCAGGAAACATAAGACTCTAAAAAATCTTACCCATCATCCACAGTGATGGAATGAAAAGTCTAAAGAGAACAACATGTAAAGACCATCCTTTTGCTACTGTGACAGGACAGAAGACACAAAACTGAAATTTGGATGGTTTTAAATTGTAAATTTTTCTTACTCTATTTTGAATTATAACCACAAGAACAATATGCCAATATATGGGATACTGATGTATAATCTAGGTGATAAATGTCAATTTTGCAAAACTCAACTTATTTATAGGAGAAAATCCATTTTAACAATTTTTCCATCATTCCTGATACTTTCACTGTAAGAACTGAGTAACAGATAGTGGTGAATCAGAGGAGAAACAAGAAAATAGGAAAGCAAATTTTGAAAGCTTTTGTTCTAGATCCTAGGATTAGAATATATAAACATTGGAAGAGCCAAAGCAACCCATGAAACACAGAAATGCATTTCTCTATGAATAGTTAAATGCTGTCCCCCTTCACAGCATCAGCTTCTTGCTTGGTAACTGCCTGCTTTATGATATTGCACAGTAGGGTCCTGCAAGCGCTGCCTACTAGATGCTTAAGCTGAGAATCCAGGTCTTATGCAGAACACAGCAAACTTGATTTCCGCCACTCACAAACTTGTGATTTATAACTGCACAGAAAATGCACCCAGTCGGGAGAGGGTAGACCTGAGTAGGTGTTACTGAGGAACATTGTTCAGGCTACTGGTTGAACCAGTCATTCCATTTTCACTTTTCTGAAGTGTTCTCACTGCACTTGGAACCTGCATCCCCGTGCTCAAAGAAAGTCCACCACACCACACCTAAGGAAAGACAAAAACAAAGCCTCAGTCACATTTCTAGCCATATTTGAATTTCAGTGGTTCTTAAACTTGTTTGAAGCACAAAATGTTACAGATGTATCAACAAGTCCTAAACTGATAACCATATTAGAGCTGCGAAAAAGTAGCTCAAGATTCTCTCAGAACCAGAGGCCAAAGAAAGTCTTTGTAATAGGAAAACCTACTGAAAATGCATGCTGGAGAGGGCACTCAGCTTCAGAAATTTCATCTGACCTGGGTTAACCCAGAGGCAAAGAATATGGCCACTGTGAGTGCCACCGTCACAAGTCCACACAGAACCAAGTTCCCTGTCCTAATAGGTGCTCTCAGTTTTGATAATGAGATGCAGCCTTAGATCACAGGAACCTACCATCCCTCTGTTAACATAGTAAAAACGGTAAGCTTCTTGCCTAGTTATCTCGTTACCAGTTACAACTCTTACAGTACTTTAAGAATTTCTGATGGAGGAAAGTAGAAGGAAGGAAAAAGAAAAAAAATACATATATCCACACAAAATAGAGTAGTTATATTATTAATTTCTCTTAGTTTACTACAAAGAAAGGTTTGTGCTAATATTTGGACAATTAAATGCCTGTATCTTGTACTCTGAGTAACTAACAAATTTAGAGATAATAACACGCAATGTATTAACCTTTGTTACTCTCCTAGTATGTTGTTTTGAATTTTTTTTTCCATCTTTAAAATAAAGAGGGGCTGGGGATATAGCTCAGCAGCACAGTGCCTGCCTGGCAAGCACAAGGTCTTAAGTTCGATCCCCAATATCAAAAAATATAAAAATAAATACAATAAATTAATAAAAATTTCCAAGAAAACTGCAAATGATAGCATCCAGATGTACTACTGTCTTTTAAATTTTTTAAATGTATTTGGTACAGAGTCTCATTATACAGCTCGGACTCTTAGTGATCCTCCTGTCTTAGCTTCCCCAGTGCTGGGATTACAGGCATACACCACCATGCCCAATTTTGGTGGCTGGCAGGGCATGACTGGGGTTCCAGGGCTGGCATGACGTGTGGTACTGGGGATCGTACCCGGGTCCTTGCACTTGCCAGGCAGGGCCCTTAGACCTCTGGGCTGTCTCCATGTCCCAGATGTACTTTCTGTGTTCTACTAATTATTACTAATATGAAAGAGTTGATGAAAGATAAAACTACTTTGCTTGTGCAACAGAGCACCAGGATAAAGGAACAGATTTGGACAGTCAAGTGACTTAGAGTATGAAAACAGAGCAGACTCAAGCTTAAAGCAAGGGAAATTCTAGTATTCTCACTTTTAATTATATCCTGAAGTATTCAATATCTGCTAATAGAGTATTACACAAAAAATCTGCTGACCTGTGAAATATATAACTTGTAAAATCAACATTCTAAATTTTCAACACTAGCAGACTCAATAATGATAGACTCTCAAAGTATAAAAGCAATTCAGGTTATAAAATTGCTGCCAGTAGATAACATTTTTGGTAATAAAATATTTAAGTGATTTAGATGAATATCAATGGAGAAAGGTTTTCTTTAAGTAAAGAGTACTAGAAAAATTGTATACCCAATGTAAAAAAACTTAAAAGCACACAACATACAAAAAAATTAATTCACAATGTATCACAGACTTAAAACTATACAACTTCAAAGAGAACATCTCTGTGATCCATCCATAAATGTGTAAAAAGTGGATAAACTAGCCTTCACATCAAAATGAAAATCTACTTAAAATTATATAGAAAGCAAAAAGATGACTTAAAAACCTCATGCAAAATATCCTTAAAACACATATGTGATAAAGGACTTATATTCAAAGCTTCAAAGAAATCTTAAAATGCTGTAATAAGTAAACAATACCCTAAAACAAGCCAAGGATTTTAACACACGCCACCAAAGAAATTATATGAGTGGAAAATAAATACATGAAAAGATGTGCCGCATCATTTAACATTATAAAAGTGCAAACAATAAAACAGTAAAATACTGCTATATACCTATTAAAATGGCTTAAGGACAAGAAAAATCTACAACACCAAATGCAAGGATGTAGTAAACTGTAATGTAGTGCTGGTAGTAATACAAAAATGGTAGAGCCATTTTGGCAAACATTTTCACATGCAGCTAAACATATATTTGTAATGTAACCCAGCAATCCTACCCAAGAAAAATGAAATCATGTTTGTTCACACAAAACTTCATGTGAATGTTTATTGTGCCCTCATTCATAACTTTTCCAAACTGAAAAGAGCCCAAATGTTGTTAAACTGATGACCAATTAATAAACTGTGGTACAAACATATAAGAAACACTCAGCAGAAAAAAAAAAGAACACTGACACACACAACACAGACGGATTTCAAAGGCACTGTGTTACACAACCAAAAGGCTGTCTACCACACTACTAATACGATTTTCTAGAAAAGGCAAAACTTTAATTACTAACAACTGTTTACAAAATAGGAGGGCTGAGTGTAATGGGAGGGTTCCAATACAAAGGACCTAGGAGGAATTTTCTAGGGTACTGGAAATGTTGTGTATCTTGACTATGGTGTTGGTTCCACAACTGTATGAATTTGTCAGAATCACAGAAAGGTACAATACTGACAAATTAAACCCATATACAAATAAATTAACATTTGTTTACTTAATAAAAATAAACCTCCAATGAAGGAAAAAGCTTTAACAAGTTAAAATAATTTCTTAAAGTATCTATGACTAATGTTTAATTACAGCTTCACCATTTGGATAAAAACTATGAATAAACTCAGTATATAACTACATGAGATTGATTCAAACTGAAATATCTTTTATAAGCATACAACTAAGAATTGGAAATAATACTTTTCTTATTTCCATGTGATAAATACTTAGTCTGACTGACCAATTTGGAAAAGCAGCCAAAAATACATAATACAGAAGAGGTATATGGTGAAGCTTAAAGAAACAAACTTTTCAGTGTTTAAAAGTATTTTTCCTAAAGCATTAACTTTATTCACTACTTTTATCTTTATAAGGAAAAACTAGGGGTCTTTATTATTAGCATTATTTTAAGCTTAAGATTTTATGGCATCTAGAATAAGAAATTATCACTTGAAATTTAAAAGCTCTGTATTATAAGCACACATTTATCCTGAATACTTCCTCTTCATATTGGGGGATTTTACTTAGGGGTAATGATGGAACAACACATGTGCAAAACAGCCCACAAAGTCTACACTTGAAATACACCATCATGATTTGCAGAAGTAACTCCCAAATTAAGGAACACTCTAGCCAAAATAATGGTGACTTAGCTAGCCCAGAACTTGCCACAATAGCCTAGTTTTATGGAGACATGCAAAAGGTTAGGACACTGGAACCAGAAATAAGAAGAAATTTCTTAAGAAATTAACTCAAAATCATGTTTAATTTTGTGTTGAGAAATGTGAACTTTTCTACCACAAATCAGCTTGCAATTGAGTAGACCTGCCATTATCTATGTGTGTATATAGCCTCCAAATGAAAACTACCTACATATCCAACTGAATTAGAATAGGGACACTGTGACAGTCACAGAAAACGACACAGCTACAGAATGAATGAACTATAATGCCAGAATGTAGATATATCCAACAGTGCTAAGCTGAAAAGACAATTTGATGCCATCTATCTAAAGTTGAGCAGGAGGCACAGTCTATGGCATTAAAACTCAAGACAGTGGTTACTCTTTAAAGTAAAAGCCACTAAACACTGGAAATGGACAAGGAGCTTCCTAGATACTGGCAGCGTCCCATTTCTTGTTCTAAGTGCTACCTTCAAAGGTAAATGCAATCTTGTGGAAATTCCTCAAATCACCTGTTTATCATCTGTGTACCTTTATGTAATATATTAGCACCAACTTCTGTGAAATATTCAAAAATATGTAGAAAATCAGAGTTTGGAGAGAGTGAACTGGGGAAAGAGAGAATGGAGATGAATGAAAAATAAGATAGTCTGGTCCTCTGAATAACACAGTGCAGAGTACCCTCCTTAAAGTTACCATGCCAAATAAAGTATAAGTTAGGTACTAACCATGAAACCAGGTAGTACTGGTTGAGTAAATTTTGTCTTAAAGGAATACAGCAACTGTTTTGAGTGTGCATCATAGAAAGAAAGTTGACCTAAAAGGGAAAAAAACACCTCAATTTATTATGCAAACAACTGTAACATCTGATTTTAATTCTAACAGATAATCATACAAAAATATAGAAAATACTTTGGCATTAATTTTTGCCCCAAGACAATAATGTTAAGTGAAAAGAGACACTTAAATATCGCATGGTTTCTCTTATAGGAGAAATCTAAAGCACAAACAATTTAAAAAACAAAATAAAATACAGATAGTAGGAAATGCAGAGGGGGCCAAGAGAAGGATGAAGGGAGGGAAAGAGGGGGAGAGACAGGAAGAGGAATAAGAAGAAAAAGAACGGAGGTGTGTTATGTGCATGTACCCATTTCCTATGATGAATGGAATCATTACTACAAACATAGACTAATAAAAATAAATTTAAAAAAGCAAAGAATATAAATAATTATATATGGCAAAATAGTAAAACCCTCAAGGACTAGACTTAATAATTCTCACCTGAGTATCAATCAATTTGCTAATTTGCCCAAATCCAGTTTTCCTCTCCTGATTTCCATTATTTCTCTATAATTTATCACTATTTTACTTACTCATCTATATATTATTTACGTTATTTTATTTTATTTTACTTTTACTTTTTATGTATTTTGTACAGGGTCTACAGGGTCTCACTGCACAGATCGGACTTGTAGTGATCCTTCCCGTTTTTCAGGTTCCCAAGTGCTGGGATTACAGACCCCAGTCTCAATCACCATCTCGGTGCACCCTGGGGGCAGGGCCAGCACAGCAGGCCAGGGATCAAACCCCAGCACCTGCATCTGCCTAAGCAGGCACTTTAATCCACTGAGCTATCTGGCCAGCCCTTATAAATTATTTTATAATAGAACCTCAAAATATTAAGCAACCTGCATGTGCTTATAAAGTTAGTACCCAGAAGAATATACAATGCTTAAACATTTTGTCCTATGCAATCTTCAGTAGTCACTCTGGATGCTAACTCAGATATTTAGTTTAACTCTATGTCTCTGCTGAGTTAAACACTAAATTTCAACATGCTTGCTAAGAATCCCACATAGTGTCCTGCTGTCATCTTATTTACTCCCAGGATTCCCTACCTTCCCTGTACCACTGACAATTGTTACCTTCTCCGTTGCACTGGCTAGCACCTCAAATTCATTTTTAACTCTTGTCTCTTTGCTCCAGTCCATATTTAATTACTAAAACCTATAAACACATCATCAAATCCATTATTCTTAACTCCCACTGCTTAAGTCCTTTGTACCATTCATTTGACACTTGTTAGGACTTCCTGAGTTAACAGCACTTGCAGGCAGTAACAATTTAATAGTTAAAAAAAGACATAGTCCTGCCTTGTACTGCTTAAAGACTGCTCATGAAAAGTTTTGTTACCTGTGCTTTCAATCTCTTCCATTTTAATCATTTATTAATATTACTAATACTAAATCACCATCATTGACTATACTTTTCTAAAATATATAGGACCACCCCTCTTCATAAAGATTACTATGTTTTTTTTTTTAATGCTCTCAGAACTGGATTCATTCTACATTCTATCTTCTCCCTGCGTCACTCTATGCTCTAGGCCACTGATGGCGAAACTTTAAGCGCTTTCAGTGATAACAGACAGCCGGCTATGGGATAGGTCCCGCAGGCTGCCCGTATTACTTCTTACTATTATTACCTCTGTGGAATCACAAAATAAGGGAGAGAAGGAAGAGAAGCAAGCAAATGCTGTCTTGGTGGTTCAATCAGAACAAAAAAGTGTCCCAATAAATTTTTCACTTATTCTGAGGAGAATGTTTTACCTGATTCAAAGTAACTAGCAAAAGAGAGAGCACAGCTATTTTAACATGTCATCACTAAAACTAAGTCAAGCCAAAACTAATTTTTTCCTTTTTTTTTTTTTTTTAGTGATTAAGCTCATGGAATTATCTGGACATAGTGCTACTTAAAACAATTAAGTTTATTATTATTAAAGAATTAACTTGGAGAGAAACATCTGGGGAGTTAATTTTGTAATGTAGCTCAATATTTTATCTTCAGTAGTTTTCTAATTAGATAACCTTAGAAAAGATATTTACCAAATACAAAAACACCTTAATAATTTTTTCAACAGATAAATTTTCAAGATGATTTTTAGATGACTTCAATAGGACAAGTCTAACCCAAATCTTTTAAGTTAAAACTAAAGGATAAATTTTAACATTTTTCCCTTGAACTGTAAACATGAAGAATCACCCCTATATGTCCTAATCTAGGAAGCAATCACAATCTTACCAGAATTCTGGGAAAAAAAGATCTATGTAAAAAAAAAAAAAAATGTAAAAAAAAAAAGAAAAAAAAAAAGATCTATGTATTAGGAGCAACACATGGCATCAGCACTATTAACTCATAGTACTAGAAACAGTGTTGCCGATCACGCTGCTGTTCTGGTCACAGAAATAGCCTTTAAGAAATACAATGAACACTGTACACAGCCATAGGCGATTATAATATGGAAAAATGAAGTTGTAAAAGACACAGCTAGTAACAAAGAATACAGTTTGAAAAAATGGCTCAAAGCAGCAATTAAGTGGTTTTTAACAAATAAAAATTACCATATAAATGAGGAGGAAACGTAATTCTGTGTTTATTGAGGTGGCAAAATTTAAGTCTCAGAAGTTAGAGAAATAAAGTAAATCCATTTTAGAAAAATCTACCCAATATCTGCTCAACAAACAGCCAGCCTTCTAACAGTCTTAGATAATAAACTTCTATCACCTTAAGACAATAAACTTCCTATTAAAAAGTTGAAGCCCATGAGTGGCAACTCCCTGCAGAAGTAGTTGAACAATGATTTTATATTGTGTGGAAGATTGGTTGGGTAATTTCTACAGTCTGCTTCAAGTCAAAAAAATCTGACTCCACCATTCCATGTAAGTACATAATAAAACAGTAAGGGAAGAACACACAGAAGAAATTTTAGTGTATAAGACTATAATTAGCAAATATTTCAGGTTAAGTAAATCCATTTCACTATTATATATATATATATATATATATATATATATATATAGAGAGAGAGAGAGAGAGAGAGAGAGAGATACATATATCTTTCATAGGACTCTAGGCAGACATCATACAACTTCCCGGTGATTTTTTTTTTTTTTTTTTGGCGGAACCAGGGATTGAACTCAAGCTCTTGCGCTTGCCAGGGAAGCACGTATTGCACTGAGCCATCTCACCGGCCCCTATGGTGAATTTTACAACTGAGATTACATTGGTAAAAAAAAAAGCCTAGCTGGCCAAAATATTCTTGCTATAGTACTAATAAAAATTTGGTATAAAGGACTGCTAAAGATAAAAACAACTACAATAAAGTACTAAAATACAAGCAACTATGATAAAGTGACTTATGAGAAAAAGAAACTTACCCCCGTCAAAATCACAAAATACACCTATTTTCTCAGGAACAGTAACATCCAAGGCCTTGACTTTATTGTTATGTTTTGCTGCAAATGTGTTTTGTAGCCAGTTGTTGACATGGATGCACCAACTAGTGTTTGTCTTTCCTAGCTGGTCAAATTTCCCCAAAGTCTTGTATGCCACACCTACACTGTAGGATTTACAATCTTTCTGGGCCTTCACCTCCCAGTAATGTTGTCCACTTTCAATAGCAGTGTCTCCTACAAAAAATCAGAAAGGAAGGCTTGACTCTCTTACTCCTTATGAGTCACAGACTTTTACCTGTTACTTGTTCCACAAATGACACAAAAAATTCAGTTCAACTGGTATTTCTACAAAACTGTGTTAGCAACACAGGCACTACATGCACAGTACTTACTACAACTATACTTATATTTTTTCTGAATATAAAAGGCTTCATAACTTTTCTTCCTTGGTCTCATTATGTAAAATGAAGTAGAGTTTTAAAGGTACCAATAAACCAATTTGAAAATACCACAATTTGCTCTCAAGTGGGAAAATCTACTGTGAAGATTCATTGACAACAAGGTGATCTGCTAAGCAAGTAGAACACCCACCACTGTGTGGTGGTGCTTTTAATCTAAGGTCATGAAGAACTATTGCATTTAATCCTACCCAGTACTGTGTATGATTCCCCAGTAAAGCGGTCTCTGCTGCCTCTTACAGCTGGTGGCCTCGAGCCTACAGATGTCCGTTTAGGGGATGGCGTACCACTTCTATATAAACGAGAAACAAAAGGAAAAATATTTTATGCTAGAAATGTTTAATAAACTAAAATTATAAATCTTTGAAAAGATTTTTAATGTCACAGACACAGCATCATTGTATTCTGAATTATTATAGAGAGCTGTCAATTGTAACACCCGAATATAAGAAGCCATCAATACAAAGCAGGCTGAACATACTGATGTCATGCAGACTGAGTGAGGCATATACAAAGAACACAAACTTGAAATTTAAAAAAAAATGCCAAAATGAGACAAGACTTACTGAAGGAAAAAAGAAATCAAGGAAGACATTGGGCTATAGCTTATTTTTTTGCAAATTTAAACAAAAGCAAAAAACTGGGCTGTTGCTTCTAGTCAGAACTAAGAAACATTTAAAGACTAGACATAGGTATTTTTGTTCTGGATCTTTTCTTCTTTGAAAGAGAAACAGAAATTGTCTAACTTGGTGTACAGGATAATGTTGAGTATTATAAAGCATGTCCTATCAAAGTGAAAATATCCAATCTGATCTCCTCTCATACCAAATTACGATACGGCAAGCTGGACTGTATCAGGCTTTTCACCAAGTCTCAAAAACTCAAAATATGTTGAGTTCCAAAGATTTTTAAATAACATTTTAAGTACATTGAATACACACACACACACACACACACACACACACATACACATACATATATTTCTATTCTTATTGTATGTTATTGTTTTTGGTTAAGAATAACATAAAGCTAATCAGGAGAAATAAAGCTGGGCTGGGGAGATGGCTCAGTGGAATAAGTGCTTGCCTATCAAGCACAGGGGCCTGAGTTCAATCCCCAGTTCCGCCAAAAAAAGGAAAAAAAAAAAAAAAAGCTTTTTTTTTTTTTTTTTTTTAAAAAAAAAAAAAGGAGAAATAAAGCTAATCAGGAGAAATAGAAATACCTATGTATATTCCCACCACCAATTAGAAATAAAAGCCATTTTTACAATATTGATGTACCAGAATTTTTTTCTTAAGATTTTGTTATTTTTTTAAATGTATTTAGGACAGGGTCTTCAGGGTCTTACTATACAGATCGAACTTGTAGTGATTCTCCTGTCTTCAGCCTCCCAATCGCTGAGATTATAGGGATGCGCTGCCATACCCAGTCTAGTCTCAATTGCCATCTCAGTGTGCCCCAGGGTGGGGCTGGCATGGCACTTTGGGGATCGAACCCTGGTCACTGTGCTCTGCCTAAGCAGGCACTTAAGCAATTTAGTTAAATTTTAATAAGCTGTCAACTTATATTGAAATACGATTCCCTGACAAAGGCAAAACAAGAATAAAAATATAAAGTTTTTAAAAATATGATTTATCTACATTATTTAAATGTTGTCCACTATCAGCAGATTTACCAGTGCCAAAAACAAAACTAAACTCAGGACCACATCTTCTACATTTTTAGTATGTTTGGTGGCACAACTGTAACTCAACAGCTCTAGTATTTACATGATCTGGTTAGCTCTTTCCAAAGGATAACAAGTTATTTTGCAAAGATAATTCTTTAAATATGTATCTGAATAACTGACTATCTTGTTTGAATGGACAGCACAAACAGAGGTGAAAGAATAGAAAGATTAAAATTTCTGTAAAAGCTGTTTTCGGGTGGGCAGTAGTTTCTTTCTATTGAGAAGGGGGAAAAGAAAATAAAATCTGATTGGGAAAGGACAGAAGTAAACAAATAAATTCAAATGAAGAAAAAGTTACATTCATTATTGTGAATAAATATGACTTTAACTTCTCCAAAGTTTGGATTGACCAGGTTGGTGTGACCAGCTTTCTAAGTCAGTACTATAAAAATACTCAAGAGTAGTGAATAGTAACAAAGTAAAATTCTGTAAACGTAAAGTTTAAAAAACTCATCACAGCTTTCTGATTCTTTTTATATAAGCTGATAACGAATATTAAAAACCTGCTTACCCAAGGTCTGTATATTTTCAAATATTAAACAGGAAAATACTGCATTTTCCTCAAAATTAAAAAACAGCAAATGTATCTCTATTTTCATTATCCTATGGGAGAGGGCAAAGTGTTTCAAAACTGGTGAATCCACAGATGCCACAGAGGCTGCTGCAGGACTCTGGGAAGAAATCACAGGGTTCCCTCCTACTTCTCATTTAGATCAGGCTTCTGGAAATGTTTCATCTGAAGAATTCTTTCTTTTGTTTATTTATTTATTAAATTAATCATCATCCTGCCCAGTAGCAGGCGGTGCTTTTCCACCCACTGATTGTTTGGGCACAGCTTCAGTCTCCTTAAACTAGTTAGACTGCACCATGCTGGTTCAAAGTGCCGGGTAGCATTTCTGTCAGCTGTTTCATCTCAGCAGGGCCTGTAACAGGAGAAGTGCTGCCAGAGACACCTGAACTTCTGGGTTGCTGAAGTGGATAACTGTGACTTGGTTTGCAAACATACTCACCTTTTCAATACCAGAGATAGTTTACCCCTAATTCCTTTAATAAGAACTGAAGTGTCTCATCATCTGGTATAGTTGCTCAAAGAACCGCCTTGTTTCTGCAAGCAGTTCCTTTCCCATTGATGTGCATGTGTGGCTGCAGGTTGCTAAGTTTTTCCTGGTTCATGACAGTTTCTTTCATCTTGTCAGAGTGGGTAGGGGGCAGCATGGGGGGCTAGAACTGGCACTCCGGGGAACTCAGGCAGACCTGCTGAGCTCTGCTGCTAATTTTTAAAGGATGAGTATAAAATGTATTGTTTAGGATGTAACCTTTGCTAGCTTCTCGTTAGATCTAACTTCAATCTCTAATGCTTTCCTGTATTGCCGATCCTATCCTTAAACTTAAGCAGTGATGACTAATGGCCACGTTGCAGTTGAGAGATGGAGCAAAGAGAGACATTTTATTATGAGTGAGTAGGCAAGAATCATATGAAAGGCGCTAAGAGGTTACAGTGTATGTATAACTAGAGGTGAGAGGGAATTAAGTGAACCAATCCAGAGGCTCTCAAATCTGGAGGCACATCCGAACCAGTTGAGGACCTTCCTTTTTTATTATTTTGCAGGGCTGGGGAACAGAATGTGCACATGGTAGACAAGCCTTCGATTATGGAGCTACCCCTGCAGTCCACTTGTGGAGCTTTGAAATGCTAATTTCCTGGTTCACCATAGATTTTAGTGCTCAACAGGGACAGTAGCCACTGACGGTAAACAAAAAAGCTTCCCTAACAAGTGTTGGAGATTAAAAGGATGATGATGATGAATGGACAGTTCTTAAGCAGTCTACTGTTGCTCTCCTTTGTATACAGTTACTACAGCACATGAGAAACTTGGCTGTGGAACAGCTGCAGGGCGGCCAACAGCTGCGCCAAGGGCCGTATCTTACCTCTCCACCTTCTGTATGAGGTGGGTGTGCGAGTGAGTGCCAGCTGAGCAAATGACTGGGAGGTACTTACCTGAGGACCAGCTTCACCTTCCTGAGCCTACACTTTCCACAGTCCTATACTGAGAGGCACAAGGCTTTGGGATTTTGTAATAAATTACCTCATGAGAAGGCATAACACATCAGAATCAACCCGGAAATCTTTCAAAATACACTGATAGTCCACTGAGTCCAGTGGTGGACCCAAATGTCTACTAGGAATAAACATGTATTTTGAAAAATATTTCCCAGCTAATACAGATAAATAAATAGCAAGGGGAACTTGTACAATACAAATAAAATATTTCAGAGAAATAAACAGCAAGGGGAACTTATACTGTGTAGGTAAAATATTTACTTAGTATTGTTTCAAAATATGGTTAAGTGCTCATTTGGTAACCAAAAATACAAACAATTTTAAGAAAAAACTGTAACTTACCAGTAAAGAAAGAAATTAAGGCAAGCATGGAGAAAAGAAAAACACATAAATATTGAGAATCCCAGTGTAGTTTCAGAGAAAAGATAGTAAGAACTTTTCCATGGTAGAATGCCAACCTTCCCAATCTATGTACATTTTTTGGAAGAAATACAACTGCTATGACCACCTATGCAAATCGTAATCTTAGCCCTTGCTTCTCTTGCTGATACTTTGGCTACTTAACTATCTAAATTAAGGCTCTTTGCATCTTTAAATTAGACCATTTTACTAGCCTTCTGAGTCAGCTCTTTCCTACCCAATTCATTGTACTATTACAAGATAAAACTTTGCCCTGATTCACCCTTCTTACAGTCATTATGTTCTTCTATATTGTCTACGAAGGTCTTAATCTGGCATTACAAGGTCTTGATCTGCTTCCAGTCGGCCACAAGGGGTTTCAGTGTCTTTTCTTTTGTTGGTCCTTCCTCACTACAAGTCCAAGTATCATACATTCTCCCAGTTCCTCAAGAACTGGCCCAAATACCATTCAGTTATTGAAGGTCCTCCCGATCCTAACACACATCTAGAAAACCTTCAAGGAGTCTAATTTCAGACCAAAATCTTATGTGTGATCTTTTTGCCCAAACACAGCAAATTATGAATGTTTTACCTGGCAGACTGGGGACAGGTATGGCAATGGGCTGCACAGGGCAGTTGTCTTGCTTATATCGTATTTTTGCACAGCTAATATGGAGTTTCTATAGGTGGTTGCAATTCTAGCCCACTCCCCAACATGCTCCTAGGCATTTCTATATTCCTAGTCTAGTTATCTCTGTTCAGAAACAGACTTACCAGAGGGAATCCCTACATGAAGATACTTTTTAGGTATCTCTAGGGATACCTCCTTAAGGGTGGAGGAGATCTGAAGATACATTTTTAACTCATCTTAACACTTTTTCCAGTTTTAACCCTCTTCTCTCCTGATCATTTTTACTTTTGATTCACAAAATAGTAGGAGTCTTCAGTCCAGGGCTTTCTAGTGGTGAGAAGACACTCTACTGTGATCCCTGCTGATGGGCTCAGCACACAGCTATCCTCAGTGGCCTCCCGCTCATGCTATCACAGTAAATCAGAATGCCTTGGCTGCTACTTTCAGTCTAGCTCACTGTCCTAACTGACCATCTCAATACTGGCAGGTCTAGGTTGGTTGAATACACTTCTTCTTTCTTTCCTCCTCTGGTATTCTTTATGCCCATTATATATAATGTCAT